TCCTTGTGCGTTGACCTACGACAACGACTTACGACTACGACTCAATTACGACCATCTTTGTGCGCGGATCCTGTACCTACTGTTCTTACTTAAGCGGGGAGCACAGACTCTTGCATAACGCATAACACGTAATGCATAAGAATATGTACCAATCGAAGTTCTCCGTTTCTTTCCCTTCCATGTAATAGAGAACTCTGGTTGGTTCAATTTCTTATGCCTCATGTGTTTATACTGTGGCGCTGTTACGTTTTCTGAACGAAGCCGACAACCACGAGGACATGATAGATTATAAGCCAGTTGCTAGGCCCAATCATCGATAAGACGTTAAGATCTGTTGTACAATAGAATTGCAATTCGTAAGCTGTAAGACTAATCACAGTTGAATACAAAGACGTAAAGAATGGACTGCGCGATCCGTGTGTGAAAATGGTCGATAGGGATGAGAGAGGGACCATGGCAGACGGCCATTTCTATCTCTTTCCATTCAATAGTGTAATGGGAGAGAGAATGAGAGGTATATTGGCCGTTTCCCACAGTCCCTCTCTCTCATTATTGTCAACCACATTTGATACACTACTTAGATACGGTCGCGCAGTCCATTCTCTATGTTTTTGGTTGAATATAACAAAAATAATCGACTATGATTGGTTAATTTCTTTTGCGACTCTATTGTGTAGAGACCTTAAAGAATCTTGCTACAGGTCTGGCTAGGTCAAAGTGACGCTTGAGATTGCTCGAAATGTTATAACTTTTGGCTCTTGAATATACCGGTATATTACTTGGGAAAAGACTAAGCGATTTTTTTCTGTTGGTGATTTCACAAAAGGGAGAGAATTCAATATTATAATTTAAATGTAATTTTTGCCAATTTAATTAATTTTGCTGATATTTGTAAAGCTTTTATTTTACCATCCTTTTCCACTTTTCTTTTGAAATCTGAAAATGTGTTCTACTTTAAATGTAATCAGATGATTGCAAGTGCTAAAAGCTTAAATATTTTACTATTTCTAGAAACTTCATGCAATTTTGTAGCATTAAATCTGCCAGTAAAGTTTCGAAATATAAAAACTCGATAATTGATTATACATACATGTTAAAGTTACATATTTAAATTATCGTGTTTTAAAACCAATTTAAGATACCAATTTTATAACAGATCAATACGTTTAAGAGCGCGTATTCCTGTGCTTCACATGTTTCGAAATAATTATTTTATCTTTTCTGTAATATAAAAAATATTTCGTGAGATTTTTTTACTTTAATGAATAAATGACTAAAAGGAAAAAAATCGTATTTTTTCCAACACTGTTTAAAATTTTGCTGATTCACACGATTACGTGAAAATTAATACCATTACTCGTCAAATTTGCCGGATACATATATGTATCGCGATACAATGTATATATAGTCAAGAATTGGATATCTGTTCAAGTATGTGTGTGGTGAAATAGAGAACGTGTCGGTATGTGAGAGGTGAAATGGAGAACGTGCCGACCATTAACGAGCAATCTTTCTACTAACTGCATACAACTTAAAAGAGGTAGAGCCATCATCAGTCATTATATGTTTTGAGAAGAAATTTGAAATTCACGAAAAATGTCTGAAATAAATCCAGAAGTACTCAAAGTATTTGGCTTTTGGAGTAGCATTTTGGTTCTGAAAATGCTGGCGATGGTGCCGTTAACTGCACGACAGCGATATCGAAAACACGTGAGTAACAAAATAATCATTCCAGATAAGATAGCCATTTAGGCCCATGATTTTTTTCGTTAAGTGCCATAGATACAGAATAGAATATCTTTTATGTATATGAGAAGAATTTGTAAATTGTTATGAATATTTTTTATCTTGGGGCTAATCGTTACTAAACGCGAAACAGGAAATAATCTAAACATAATTTAAATTCTTAAAAGTTGCAGAAATATTTTTTTCTGTATATATTATATATTTTTTTTTTCTTAATTAAATTAATAAGGGGACAGATTTATATATATTCTCTCTAAAATCTTTGGATCTTATTCGAAAGAATGAAATCTTACTCCTAAAGATTGAAAATTGAGACATTTCTTTCAAGACTGGTTCAATTTTCACTCTTTAGAATGACATTCCATTCCAAAAAATTTGGAGAGTTATATATACTGTTTTAGCGTCACACGTCAGAATTTATTAACTAAAATGAAACTGATTATGATTAATTGTTGTAGATACTGGCAAGTCCAGAAGATGGTGTCTTCATAAGTAAAGGCAAAGCTGTTTACAATGATCCAGATGTGGAGCGTGTACGTAGAGCACACTTGAACGATTTGGAAAACGTTCTTCCTTGGTTCATAATCACGTACTTTTGGCTAGGAACAGGACCTTCACCATGGTTGGCCAAAACTTTGATACAAACCTTTGTACTTTCCCGTATAGGTCACACTATATCATATGTAATTTTTCAACAACAACCTCTCAGAGCGATAACTTTTGCTGTGGCATTTGGAATTACAGGTTACGAAACATTTAAGACATTATTGTACTATTACTAATTGCTTAGGTATACATAAATCGTGAAATAAGCACATATAGCTATACAACAACAAATTACATAACATTCTTTTAATATTTGGAGATAAAACAATTTTCGTTATATATATCTACAGAGAAATATTATAGTGAATCTAAAGATATATTGTATGAAAGATATATTGTAACATAGATGTATACGTATATCCTCATAGAAAAAACATAAATGTAATATTAAATATACGATATTTTTGTTACATTAATGGAATAAATGGAAAACTTTATTCATGATACGTTTTATTAGAGGCATTAATGATGTTACGTGTTAAAATTATCTGTTATTTTTCTTGTAACTATGTTTACACATCACGTATAAAGATAAAAATTATTCTTAAAAAACTAGAAACTTTAAGCAAAAAGCAATTTTTATTCAGTCCTGAAAGTTCTTTACTCGGATATGTATTTTTTTTTATATTTGGCATTATATTATTGTTCCAGAATTCAATTTTTGTAAAAGTTTTCATTTCATCTAAAAGATTTCTGTATAAGGATAGCCAATAAGGATAAACAATTAAAATGTAATACAACGACTACTGTATTACATTTTTTGTATTCGTACAAATTGTAATTAGCGCGGTGCTATGGATTCAATTTCGAAAAGGCGTTTAATTAATTAAACACCGCAACAACGCAAACTTTTCCGCCTAGATATTTATAAATTTATAAAGACAAAAAGCATGAAATAATATCGAAATAGTGTGTAAATATTATACATTTCAATAATGAATAACAAGAAAAATAAATTCTATATCTTTTTATTAAGATCTTGGTAAAGTTTTGTAAAAAGTCTTTTTATTCTGATTTTTACTTAAAAGTTATAAAATCTATTTCGTCTTTAATCGCACATATGGATTGCTTTCTCTGTAAAATCTGTATACGTTTAGTATATTTTCGGCCGCGCAAGCGTTTTAACACATTTCGAAGGCGCATACGCGAACTTTATTGTACATGGTCGTCATGACGGCACCGCGACGCCGACAAACGCGGGAACGTCAGACGTCGCGATGCATCTGTGACGTGTAGTCGTCGTCGTCGGTGCGTCATTCGACGATCGACAATCATGCCTTGATCTACACCCTCACCGGGTAAATCGCAAGATTAACGTAATTTTCACTGTGAGACTTAATACGTGTTAATTCAAAATGTTGAATTATATACGTTTACAAGAACCAGTAATCACTGTTTTTACGTGATGAAGATCGATAGAACAGAAGCATAGAGTGATCAAGAAACACGATAACAGGTGGGTACAATTTTCTAATTTTATATAATGGATTAAAATTACACCTGATATAAATTAAAAGTTTTAATTTAATAAGGAAATGAACGATTGATTTTTTAAATAAGTCATATAATATTTTAAAATATTTCTCTTTAATCGCGCATATTTTGCCTAATTATTGTATATGTATATACGTATATATATATATAAGTGCATTGTGTGGAAAATAAGCAGAGTTCAGGTACCAGTGACTGAAGAATGCAGGAGAAATTCCTTATCTTATATCCATGCAATTTTCTCCTTTGTTCCGACGACAAACACGGATCCCCGAGTTACACACGAATAGAATCAAGCTCGAGCAGGTCATTCCTGTACCTGCACCTCGATTTCCGTGAGGATCATGCTTTTTTCTTTCAGCGTGAACAGAAAAGCCAGCTGAACGATTCTTTCTCACGTGCAATGATTTGCATAGGGTGGTAGGAGTATGTCTTATCAAAGATTGGAATAAGTTTCTAACTTCTTTATGTTGACAATTTCTTAAAAGGTTCACTAAAAATTAAATCTGTTTTCTTAGTTAGTCACGTCATTTGTATTGATGATTAATTAAAAACATATAAACGTTATTTAACAACCTACATAGTCCAATCTCAAGCGACTTAAAAATCGAAGGATATATTTATACTTATAGAAAATTAAAATATATATTAATTACATATATTATTTTAATTTTATATTTACATTATTTACATATTATTTTCATATTAAAATAACTCCTTAAATTAACAACGTGTTTTTAGTCGACATATTTTCTAGCGCCCGTAATACCGTAACGTGTTCGTCAACAGTGTATCAATGTTTGTCTACTTTCCGGAGCTTTAGACATAATGAAATTTTCTCACGAACGGTGCATTTGGATAGAGTATATGTAGAAAAGTTCCTTAGTTAAAAGTCTTCGCATTCTCTAATTAAAAATCTTCACATTTCATGGGGCTATCGATTGCGCAATTAATTAACATTCCTATGAATGCAGGAATATTCATTGTTTTATTTTATAAAGCTTTACCGCACAATCTTTCGTGTACCGCGTAATACCGTGTAATACGATTATGATTTAAAATCATAAATCATACACTGAAAGAAAAAAATAGTTGGAATAATCACAATTTAACTATAATTTATAGTCACTTTTGGAACAACCGTAAATTTATAATTGTTTTGACCATATATATTATAGTAACCTGAACTAATTGTATGGTTATCTTACACATAAATCATATTTGCATAACGTAAATTATACTATAATGTTGCAACTATACATATAAAGTTATTGTCACTGACATTATAGTAATAATAACTGTAAAAATAATGCTCCTAACTACAATTATTTTACCATACAATTATAGTGTCACAAATATAATACAATAATATACTTTTCTCTCAGTGTATGTATAGGTATATGTTCGTTATGTATGAGCGTGAATTTCGTTGTTAATTTGCAATGATAACGTTAATGCGAATAGACAAATTTCTTCATTGTTTCGTCAATACTAGCCGTGGTAACCACATCTAGGACATATAGATTGCACACGACATGCGAACATATACGTGCATCTGTGTTACTCCAAAGATGCGCATCTTATTAGAGAAATTTTGAATGATAAAAAAAAACAATTCGATGCGCGGTCAGTTAATTAAGTCACTTTTAACTCGTGTTTTTCATAAAATTCTGATGAATATTAATGACACAAATTAAATAAAACAGCTCGTTTATCTTATATTCAAAACGGACAATAGAATTTACAAAAACTCTGCAGGGTTTTTGTAAATTCAGCGCGTTTACAAAATATATTAACTTTTTCGTAAAACGCATATTACAAAGAAATTAACATTTTAAAAAAATTTTATTAAAATTTCAACTTATTTTTCTGTTTGAAAAAACGGCTTTTTCTAATTTATCCTGTGCTATACACACACGTAAATACCGATCACATTCTATTGTCCAAAGATCGGTTGGATTTACTGAATATTGCAAATATTAATTAATTGATGACGTTACGCTATGCAAGCGGCATGCACGTGATTACAAAGCGGTGTATCGATCACGTATTGGTCCCTAAAGGCAGTTTAAACACAAGGGACTCTAAGCGTTCACCGGGTGCATGCCTGCGGCGTACGAGAGATAGGTGCACGCGGTGCATCGTGTACACGCGGTTATCGATAATCATGTCAATTTTCCGTGTCGCGTGGTCACGCCTTATACGTGCGTGCCATCCGAAATTGCATTTCTCTGTATCGGCTGTCACGACGAGCGACGCGCACCGGTGGCTATGATTCAATTTGTACCGGGATTAGTACCAAGATTCTAATCACGTTTGAGGTGGGTGCGCTTTCACCCTTTACGCGCCGCAGAACGGCCGATAAATTTGACCGTTGCTGAAGTTACTTGTTTATCAAAGCGAAGCGAGCTATTCTACGTTTTTCCGTAATTAAATTGATTTAATTAAAATCAGAGATATCTATTTTTCTGATGTATAGAGACTAAGAACATTTTTCTTCTTTCTCCTCTTTTTTCTAGAATAATTTTTACGTATAAGCTCTTAAAAAACGAATTTCTTAAATTTGCAAATTAGAAAAGCAATTTAGATTACATAGGCAATAAGAGCATAATGATAAGAGAACATAAATCGAGAACCACTGTTTTAGTGTCACGGTCGTATATGTGACGGGACATGCTCTCGTTGTACAAGCACACGCGAGATCTTGAAATGCTTTGGCTCGGAGTTACTCTCAGATATTTATCACTGTATTAAGAATTCCCTGCAGAGAGACTCTTGACGTCCGATAGAGGAACGAAACGGCTCGTGACATCATAGGCTGCAAATGCTGCACATTCGTGGCTTGTCCCTGCCCAGTCGACCCCGACGCGAAATTCGTATGACCGCTTTTGGAGTGCATATCTACACAATCAGGACGTATGAAAACTTCGTACTTGAAAGCCTGTAGGTAATCCTTGGGAGAGAAGGCTCAGTGATGAACGCGAGCGTTTTGAATTGGTATAAAAAGGTACTGCAGAACCTTTTTATTACCTTTCTTACGCTTGCAGCTCGCCCTTGAAAGAAAGGCCAAATCACGTAGGTACTTATAAAATACATCGGCCAAAAAAAAAAACCGATCTGAAGGATTTCGCGAGACAGATCATAATGTACCAGAACAGTACATCCATTGTGACTATACAGCGTGATTACACGTGCGCATAAATAACGACGTATAGTTTCACGACTGATGACTTCATGGTGCCTATATAAATCGCGTTATTATTTAATGATGCGGTCGTTTCGTTTAGACATTACAAGCAGACGTGAACTTTAACGTTTAAAGCCTGTGTCTGAATCACGGAAGAAACTAGAGATTCTAATAAACTATAAATACTATAAATCACAAATAGAGTATCGTATTCGTATATAGTCCCGTAGTTTTGCATTAATTAAAGTTAAAATATTCCGAAAATTGTCGTACTTCCGAAATATATAGTGTGAATTATTATTAGCACTTGTAAAGGATTTAGAGGCTATAATATGATTCGATTCGACAGCATCCCTAATCACTAGAAAGGCTTCACTTTTCAAGACGCGCCGTCTAGTTCTCTCTGACGTCGACGTAACGACGCGTCAGCGAGGAGGTCAGGCTGCATCGCTTCGTCTTAGGAGCGCAATTACAAAAGTTTCCCTTTTAACGTTAATTAATGAGAGAGTCCGCCGTACCGTACTTCATTATGGCGCTATCCATTACGGAGGTGGCCTCTTCTCTCAAGTTGGGCATGCTTTCAATTCTCCCCCGAGAGAAAGACCGTGCCAAACTGATTTACGAAGAGCGATCGACTTTTTCTTTAACTTGCATAAAATTAGCCCCGTTAACCATAACCATCCGCCACGGTTCGTCTCGTTTTACGAAATGCGCGATTTCGATACGCGGAGCACGCAACCCGCGAGCCGATATTTCGCGAAATCAGTCGCTGGTTAAGGTATTCTGCCGCGAGCCACTATTTGGAATTCGATCGCGTCCTTCTCGATGGAAAAACGTAAGCGGACTAATACGTGTTTTCAGGCTACAAAGAATGAATAATCACATATATGCGTACGACTCCGTGCGGTCCCAGAAAGGTCAAGAATAATTTGCAAAGGATCAGAAATGGTTTTAAGGCATCTTGTGACTATAAGCTGTAAGATGATGAAGCGCTATGATTTAGATTTGCAATTTTGATTGCGTAAAAAATTTAAAATAATGTTAATCCAGCTTTAATCTTTAGAGGGGATCAATTTTTAAAACCTTATAGCTTTTTCTAAGTAAAATTTGTTATAATTCATTATTTCTTGTCACAAAATATAACACTGTTTCAACGCCACTATAATGGTTTTCCCGTCCTGTAAACATTAAGTACATTTACTACTCTTGTATACAATTAATTTTAATAAATTAGCGAGGCTAAGGTCAACGAAAGTTTCATTATTTTGAAAAATATGAATAAAAAAAAACAGTATAACGTTTATAGTGTCAGCTCAAATGACACATACAGAAACATTCGTTCACAGTACACGGATGACGCGTTCAATCTGTTACCGGTTCGCCTACAGATTTCGACGCATTCGCCAAATACGGCGCATTGAAGTCGAACCCGAGAAGCCGCACGCCGTCTGGTTTTCTACCCACGCCGTGACCCGCCGTCGCTTTTTACGGGAAATATGAACAGACGGGCGTGGTGCTTTCGCTCTTTAAGTAAATTGGTCCACGGATGCGCTGCGCGGATCGCTCGTGATAGTTATCGAATAATAGTTTAGAAAATTTTGATGTATATCAAAATTAAAAAATAAAAATCCAAAATTGTTGTTACTTCCCGGATGAAAATAAAAATCGGAGCGTAAATCCGATAGAAAAGTAATAGAAAAGTAAAAGAAGCGTAAACGAAACTTCTAAAAGACGAAAATCGAACAATGAAATGTAAAAGAATTATCAGTTGCGCTTCTTTTACATTTTGATGTTTCAATTTTCGCCTCCTAGAAGTTTCGTTTACGCTTCCGTTACTCTTCTATTACATTCGACTTACGCTCTGATTTTTATTGATTGATACAATAAAATTTCATGTTCTTTCGAACATAGAAAGATACAGAATTATTTTAGATACTCGTTTGATTTTGACTTTTAGATAACGGCTAAAACGCAAATAGACACGAGGAACCGGTTAACTTATGGTTACCGTTAGGTGAAATTAGTAAGAAAGTTAGCATAATTTATTTATTAAATTAATTTATACTTCAATTTAATTATTACGATCGTCTGCATCTCTTCATATATTGTAGTATAGAACAGATCCCGACGCTATTTGTCATATGGTATCAATTCTGACTGGGTTTATAATGCTTAACAATAGTATCTTCATCCATGTAATAACGCGTTTTATTACGTATATACCATAAAGAACAAACATTCATTAAAGTTAACAAACATCTTTAGATGTAAGTGTACGTACACATTTTTTTTGAACGAATGAGACACACACTTCGTATCGTTAACGCCCACGAATGTACTTTACATCTCGAAGTAAGTGTTAATATTTCAATCAAATAAGAAAATTATTTACCTGATTTATTTCCAAGGACATACGTAATACAGCAGGAAATAAATATTGCACAAGCATAAATAGTTGAAGTATTTCTGCTCGCAGCATATTTCTTTATTTATTTTTCTAAAATGTGTAAAACATTTTTCTTTCATTTAATGTGCAATTGATTCATAATTGGTTTATAATTTCAACAATGATTCCCGTATTATCATATTTTTATCCTGAATCAATCTATCGATAATACTCAACAATAAAAGATGCTTAGCATTCCTAGTCGGAGATCTTATCACAGGTCGTAATCATATACTGTTATCTATCCATACAAATTATAATTATATAAAGAAATGGAGTAACTAAAACGTTTCAAGTTTTTTACTTTTTACCAGTCACGTGTCACAATCCGATATACCTACAATAATGATAACGATAACAAGAAAATAATATATTATATTATATAATTATTGTAATCAGTAACAAAATTATTTATAATAATTATTTTAACAAGTTTATTATTTGAATCGAGAAAGAATATATCCATTCCTCACAAACGAATTAGTTTATCAGCAAAACGATTACCTCTTTAACATTCATGACTTGTTAAGAAAGTCTCATTGAAATAACTAACTGTTATCTCAATCATGTTCCTAACAATAAATAATGGACATTGGTGACACTTGTCCGTCCGGGAGAAAACACCGGCTACGATCGTCGTAGTTTTGTAGTCTACGTCATCGCTCGGTTTACGCCGTGGCATCACGATGGACCGGTTCTGCGAAGGTGCCCCCACCGATTTCTCTGTCGCGCTCGCGGTGCTCACGGTCTGCAATTTTTCTCGCCGCAAAATGTTGAAAGAAAGAACTGCGTGTCGTTATGTATGAATCATTGTGCGAAGCTTTTATAGAAATAAGTATCAAGATGAAACTTTCGATTCGTGCGTAGGATAACAAACCTTTGTAGGACTTCCTCGTCTTTTATGGATTGCTCTCCATTTTTTTTTTAGACTTGTACTGTGCAACGATGTGGTTCGATATGAATTGCTATTAATTATTCAATTTTATTAATTTAGTTTTTCATTTGTTGTCATGTGTTTCGATCTCTAATAAAAAAAGAAATAATATCATGATAAAAAATATCGTAATAAACTTTAATTGTATTTAAATATGCGTAAAAACGTAAAATTGCGTTTTACACAAGTCCGTCTAGGTTGGAATTTAGTTTGGAATTTTATTCGCATAATATAAGCGATCAACAGGTGTACGCATGTACACTAATACAGGAAAGAGAAAAAGACTACATCCTGCATTTACGTATGTGTTACGTAACGCGTACGCCGATGCGTATACGCGCACGAACGTACACGTGCGCGAAGCGCGGCTACATTCACGATGTAACGTTAAATACCACCGAGTAATGCTCATTGCCCGCAATGGAAAGTAATAGAAAAAGTAATAGCGATATATTATTTTGCTTCATCACGCTTCACGTTAAAAATCGATAATACATTCATATTTATGTGTATAAACATATCTGAGAGTATAAAGTATCAAAGAACGTTTTTCACGCAAAATATATAAAAAAATTCTCTCTTCTTAAAAAAAAAACTTTTAACACTAAAGTATTATCCGTATTTACTTTTCGGCGTCGTACGAGTGTTGGAATTTGTTGTTACAATTCGACATTGACATACAAACGTATTCGCGGCGTGCGCTATCGTTGTGCAAATATGTGAACGATAAAGAGAAGTCGCAGATAAGCCATAAGAAAAAGAAAGACGTACTCTAATCTGGCAATATATCGTAATAACATAAGCTATACACCTGGTCGAGACGGTAGCGGCGTGACGTAGATGCGCGCGTACGCGCTTGTTCACGGGTCACGCATTCTGACACGCGTTGCCGGTCGTGAACAATACGCGAATAGAGGTACGTCCCACGCCACGAGCGTGTGGGACACACGAGGATGGGTGGCTACGTCCCACGCCGAACGAATGAGACACGTACCGACGAATGTACAGAGGCTCCGTCACGTCGCGGAAAGTAGGGATGCCGCGGTGTTCTCCAGGCATAAAAGATCCATGGTTGGTGTACGTCAGTGTCAGTGACGAGAGAGAGGAACGGAGTGGAGAACCGTGTGGTCACCTAGACCAGCAACGGCGAGTAACCGCCGATGCCACATCGACTCGCGATATCGGACTGAGAATATCGGTTCACACATCTCTCACAATCACATCAATCACAAATTTTAAAGCCGGCATTAGTTTCGAATGATCGTGCAGAAGAGAAAGACAGAGTTTTGGAATTTATGCGCGAGTGAGAGGAAGCACGCGCGAAGCTCGTGCATATATATCTAACACGGGCGAGAAAGTTCCGAGGATCATACAGAAGAAACGAGTTTGTAAACGAGGCCGGTCACAGCCGAGCTTCAGTTCGTCTGGGTGACTCGAAGAGTGGCGCGAGCGCGTGCGAGCGAGCGGTATAATGTAGTTAAAACCGAGTGTCGATGATAAACGGTTGTGCGCCAGCGATAACAGAGAACTTTTTTATATTTAAAATTTTTAATCGGGGGCAAAGTTGCAGTGATTGACAAATTATAACATATTCGGCAGTGAGTGTGCGTTTTAAAAACATTCTCGGTTTTTATCGTATTTACAACAATCACACACGAGTCTCTCGCGTTCGTGTGAAGTTACTGTCGAGTAATCGAGCTGTAGAAGCGACCGAAAATACGTAGCGATGACTATTCACAAAAAAGGCACGGTGTCAAGGATGAAGAATGCGGGAACCGCGAAAAACGAAGTGGCAACGACGTCGACGTCCTCGGATGTGACGACAACGGAGACAGTCGAGGTTGTATCCTCCACCAGCGTCGTGGAGGAATCGAATCAGGTGAAGGAGAGCGAATCTAGAGGTAGCATGGTGGAGGTCACGAGTGCCAGTCGCGAGGTCATCATGGATTCCAAAGGTAACATTATCAAAGTTATCGAGATACCTCCACAGACTATCCAGCAGAGCTCGTCCAGCCGAAGAACCGAAAAAAGCTCTCAAGACTTCATAGCAGGGGAGCAGGTGCAATCGATTAAGCAAGCGAAGACGACGCACGAAATTCCACGCGAGCACGCAACGTCTCTTTCGGAAAATCGGACAATTCAAGGAGAAATGACTGAACAAGCCAGTCAATCTGTGCAGACGCAAAGTCAAAGCGCATCCCATTCAATGGTTCAGCAGTCGAGCTCCTCGAGTGTCTTAATTGAGAGTTCATCAGCGAGCGAGGATCATAGCGGACATCGCTCTACTGTTATAGTTTCTCATGACATTAAAAATGGAACTCCCATATCTCAGACATCGTCAAGGTCGACCGAGAATACTCACGTGAGTAGCGAGACGAGCGAAGCCGTGACGAAAGACGGTCAAACAATGTCGAGCACCACAAGAATACGCGAAACGGGAGAAAGAATCAATGACAACGGTAAGACGATGTCTGCATCGAGCCGGGAAGTTGAGCATACGATTGCACCTTCCAATGTGACTGTCATTAAAAATACTGATGATATCAAGAGGAGTGATAAAAGTACGCGCAGCGATTTGAAATCAGAGAAATTAAACATCGAGATATCAACACGTTGTAATAAGCCCGGCCAATCCACATGGGATGGCACCTTTGTCTATGAAAAACCAGCCACTCCTAAGGACAAAAGTGTCATTGATAAAACAGTAAGTTCAAAGATTCATAGCGATACCAGAGATGATGAAACAAGCGTTAAAGTTACTCAAGGGACCTCGATCCAGGAGGTATCATTTATCGATCAGAACGTATCTTCAAGTTCAAGCATAACTCGAGACTCGAAAACGATAGTCGATGAAGGTCAACGAACGATGACTTGTCTTCGTGATATCACGTCGGAGAAAACCGCCGCGGATACAACAGATTTCGCTAGCGAAAAATATTCGAAAGGACCGATCCGTTACTCAAAACCTGGCGATTCGACGTGGGACGGAAGCTTCGTCGTGGAAAAAATTACGACGCAGCCAAGAAGTCAGCGTAACGATTCCGACGTCAACATGTTTCACGGTCGCGGCGACAACGTCATGGAAACGCAGAGAAGAGATTTCAAAGAAAAGAGTACGGACGGTACATATGAGAAGGAGTCATCCGAGACTATGCGCGTCGTAAAAGGTGCTACAGACAGCACCAGATTCATTTCTGAAGAACGACGAGATGTAAGCGGAGGAACTTCGATCCATGTCGATGGTATGCCATTGAGTAAGGATGAACACCTTGCTCGCGTATCCAGTCCATCGCAACGAAGAGTCGGCAGACCCGGCGAATTTATCTACGAAAAGTCGCAAGATGACGTAAAGAAGCATCCTTCAGACGTCACCGTAGTCCGTACAACGAAAAAACGTCATGATACCGTGGACGTTCAAGATGTCAGCGAAGAGCAGAACATTTCGAACGTTACTGAATCGGTCTCCACGTCTTACATCGTCGAATACGCGATTTCCGGCGACAAGAAGAATGTCGAGAAGGTCACGTCGGTGTCCGAGGTAATCTTAGAGGAAGATAGTCCTGAGAATAAAATTACGCGCGGCCATGGAAGTCCGGAGAGACAGACAAAATTTGATACAACTTCGCGCTGTTACAAGCCCGGTCAATCTGCTTGGGATGGCACCTTCGTCTACGAACGACCGGTAACACCTGATAGTCGCCGAAGACCGGAAGATAAACGTACAGTAAAAACTATCGATATTCGAGATGTTACGGAAGATAATTCGATTAACGAAGCGGACGTCACGAGTACTTCTTACATCGTTGAACATTCATCGAGTCAGCAGAGTTTCTCGGACATCAGGGATGCCAGCGTCAGGTCCACGAGGTACGAGACAGTTGTTTACGAGGGGCGCCCTGTCGAAACGACGATTAGATTTGATGGAGATACATCACGAAGCAAAGTTTCGTCGACGGAACGTCGGATTAGTCCCTCTCCACGACCTAGAAGTCCGGAGAAGATACCGATAGATAGAGATCTGCGAAGTACCAAACCCGGATCGTCAACGTGGGACGGAACTTTCGTATTTGAAAAATCGCAAGAGAAGAAGCGACCACCTAGCAGAGAATCCATTGATAGGCTACCAGATAAACCTCGCCCAGCAGACAGCAAAAAGACACCCCATATTGATACGTCGAAGAAATATGTTAGCGAAACTACTATCGATCTCCGAGATGTCAAGCAAGATGTATCAAGCACGTCAGAGATTATGGAAAGTTCCGTCGTTATGGAACAATCAAGAATGCATGAAAGTTACACGGATTCCTCGAATCTTGATTTCTCGACGACTTCCTTCGAAACTGTTACTATTCGCGACGGTCAGCCAATAACGACGCAAAAAACAGTGACCATTCAAGAAAGCCCTCACAGTGGTGCAAAGAGGCTGCCTAGTAGTGACGTAATAACTACTACTGACATTAAAGAGACCACTGTTAAAAGCGAGAAGAAGGAATCTCGCGCGGACGATAAAAATTACCGACCTCTAAAACCAGGATCGTCCACATGGGACGGATCGTTCGTGTATGAGAAACCAGAGGAAAGAAAACCAAGCGATAAAAAGTCACCGAAAGATGTACATGGAGCTGTGGCTAAACAGAGTCCAATTAAAGAACAACGAACCGACAATGTCGATCATCGAACAGTTACAATTTTGGATACATCAAAAGATATAAGAAGTGCTACCGATTATTCTACGAGCTCTGTCACGGTCGAACAAACATTCATCAAGGATTCGGAGACATACGATTCTTCAAATATTTCCAAAATTTTCATCAAAGGAAGCGCAGAAGATAAAGTACGTGAAACCGATAAAAAGCCAAGACAGCAGTTCGACGGAAAACCTGAGCCATCGCCTCGACAACGTCCGAAAGACACTAAAGAGCCTAAACATAAAAAACCGCAGAGTCCGGTGGATAGAACACATCGTCGACCGTCGAAGCCAGGCGCCTCCACCTGGGATGGATCGTTCGTGTATGAGAAACCGGAAGAGAAGAGACCAGAAGATCGAAAAGTGCCAAAAGATATTAAAACAGAAGATAAGCGAAGCCCAATTAAAGAAAAACCGAGTGACATCGCTGATTATAAAACATCTGTTACGATACTGAATACATCGAAGGATGTGTCAAGTTCTGCCGATTATTCTACGAGCTCCGTCACGGTCGAGCAAAAGTACGTCACCGATTCAAAGACATATGACTCGTCAAATATATCCAAAATTTATATAAAAGAGAGTCCGAAGGATAACGTACATCCGATCGATTACGAGAAATCAAAACAGCCCTCCGACGAAAAGTCGCAGAAAAGTCCGGTAGACAGAACGCATCGACCGTCGAAGCCTGGTGCTTCCACTTGGGACGGTTCTTTCGTGTACGAAAAAGTACCGAGGAAACCGGCAGACGAACGAAAACCGATTGAGAAAGAAAGCAAACCAGTGGATCAGAAAGGAAAAACGTTGCTTACTCCGATTTCGCGAAAATCAACGGAAACACAGAAGGACATCATTGAGATCAGACATGTCGAAGATGTCGCGGATATCACACATGCGGATATCACGCGTACATCCGAAGTGCTTCAGCAATCTTACGTAATCGATCAGTCTTCGAGATTCACTTCTGTGCAAGACGTGCGCGATGTTAAGGACGAGCGCGTCATCACTGAATTTACGGCGGACACACGCAAGGATATGGTGAGTAATTGCAAGACGTTAAGATGTTTCTTTATTAGCTGTCCACAGGAAATTGCTAAAACTACGACTCATTCAGTTTTCCGGGATAATGCTTATATCATACCTCTGTTTCAACATTTATTTCTATAAGAATTATAGAATTATAAGTCAAATACTGAAAACTTTGAACCTTCTATATCGATTATACTTGCGAGTTCTCAATACATTAACTTCTCGATAGTTGATAATGACCATATGTTAGTAGGCAGATTTATAAAATCTTATCGAGACACTTTGAGCTCAGTTCTTTCGGAAAAGATTCGAACGATACTTTCACTTCCAAACCGAGCGAAGGTTGTAGGTTCATATGTGTGGCGCCGCGTTGAAAATAAACCTGACGTAATATAGCGATTCGTAGAAAGACGGGAAGGGTTAAGAGCAGAAGAGAAAAGAGAATTCGTTTTGTTAAATCCTCTGTTTGAAACAGACAGAATGCATACATATCGCGTTCCTAATATATACGAATTTCTGGACGACTGAGTCCCGATTCATCGAACTATTGCAAAGTGAATAGGGGAATCGAGCGGAAATCAATATTTCACACATGAGAAACGATTCTGCCCGACATACAGTATCTCAATCGTTGTATTATGATCGCTTTAAATCGTCAATATGCTATTGCATAGTACAGAAATATATAATATATCTTAATATTTTTAATATATTATCATCATTGACATGAAAACAATTCGATAACCTCTGTTTTCGATTAAAAAGTGAACTTTGACATGTAAATACGCAAATTATCTTTGAGAGAGATAAATGTATGTACATTTAGACGATCATTGTACAGTTCAAATTAAATTAAAGACGAATCTTTTTTTTTTATTTTGTCCAAACAATATTAAAAACAATATCAACATAACAAACTTAAAATATCACATCAAATAACATTGTTATAGAAAAATGTAAATTTAATTATTGTTATATTATTTATATTATATTTATATCATTTATAACAAAAATCTGTACATGAAAATTAATTATTACGATTATTTGCATTTCCATGAAAAAATCCTTGAAATTGCATCCTTCTCGAACATGTAAGAGTAATCACTTGCAATTAGGCTAAATCTCGAGCATATGCAGAATGATAATAATTGCATCCAATATGAGCAAATTTGGCAGTGATGTCACCGCTCAATGTAACTCGCTTAATGTATGACCAATTGAATTTCACGCGCGTTCCGCTTCGCTTATCATGCGGTCGCTTCGTTCAAGTGCTATAGAAATCTTAGTTAAGAGATGCCACGCTGAGAGACACGTGTACATTGACGTCACTCATCGCTGGTGAGGTGCAGTATCGATAGCAACGACCGATAACATTAAATAAAATAATAATAGTACAACAGAGATACAGGTATATCGTTTTACAATAATACCTTGTGTATCCATTGTATATTGCAATATGCTATAGAACTCAATATTGATTTAATCAGTAAAAACAAAATCGCACGTGGTATCAACGGGTTTTACACTGTGACCGAGTCACTTTGTAACTGAAAAGTTACATGTTTTCATAGAAATATGGGTCGATATCAAACAGAAAGATAAATGCCACAGATGATACTTTGGATTTACTGCTACAGCGATAAAACGATAGTATTTCTGAAAAAATTTGAAATTTAGAATTTTAATTTAAAATTAGTTTCTAATAGAAATAACACTTCATTTTTATTCAAATAATTGCGTATTCCAATTTTTTTCTAATTTTTAAAATTATCTTTTTTTTAAAAGTTTTTTATTTTTTCTGCGTTCAGTTTTCTTATGATTACATTAAATTAAATTTTGTTTCATGTCTGATAAAATCTTATTTTGCACATGTTGCTTATTGAAAATTCAGCGAGCATACTTTTGACTGTTAACAGCAGTGAATTTCCTAACTGAAGATGCTCGGGACAATTTGAAACTTTATCTCCACGTAGCATCTCACAAATATTAGGATCGGTACTTCGAAGATTACGTTATCTAACATCGCAGTCTGAATATTCAATGCCTTGCTCGCACAAGGATAATTCACAAGGACTACGTTGGTAATTTGCAATATGTTCTCACGTTTACAAGTTTACACCCGTTGTACGAATTAAAAATAGACATTCGTAACTTATTCCGCACCATACGGACAGTCTGTTTCTTTAAAGCAGCTCGATTTAATTCTCACAGCCGTGACTTTACTCCGAGGTCTCGAGATGATCGATAAAATGCTTTAGTAAGTTCGCGTTGGCACACGTGCTTTTCGCGTTACTTCATCTATCACTCTGCAAATGAATATCCAACAAATATCTTCTTTCCATCTTAGATGGAATAAACGCTCTGTGGAATCTCTATTTGTATGTTACGATTGTAATTTACGTCTCTATACTTAAAACAATTCATCTTAATGGGAATATTACAGACACCCTCGTTGTTTTCGATTGTTCAACATGCAAACAACTATAAAGATGGCCTATTTGGATCGAGATATTATGATACGTACGACGTACACGCGTGATCGCGTTTTCTCGGCGCGATTCGGTATTATTATTTTATGAAGGCGCGTGCAATATCTCGTCATGTCATACATTACGGCATCGATAAACGTGATATTTTATTAACAGCACTTAATTACGTTCATCAAAATTCTTTTAACACAGAAATTTTATTAAACTTGTAGTTACTACGAAATAGCAATACAGAGGAGATCGTTTTTAACGTGAAATTTCTAGACAGACAAAATTATACTCATCGGGAAAACAAGTAAAGTCTAAATTATGTAAACGAGCTTCATTATGAGCAACTCTCGATATCGTCGGAGGAGGGGCAATCAGCTTAAGACTCAAGCTACTTAACCCGCTAATTAAATGCCAAAACTTCATCTGATGTGCTTTATGCGAATTACATTCGAGCGTTAAAAACAGTAAAGGATTTGACTAATAATATCAGCAAACGTTATTTGCTTCTTTGTAGAGTCAAATTAAAAACCAAGTGTGCCTATGAATATAATGAGCAGTCACAACAAATTGAAAAAAAAATAGACACGTGACATTTTTAATGATACAATGTAACGTGGAATTTCAACACCAGTACAAGTAAAACATCAAAATTCCCCAAACTGAAACAATATTTTTCGTAGTAAATTTATCATGGATTTATAAGATACTTATTAATATTAGTAACACACATACACACACACACACACACATTAAATTATTATCACTTTAATAGTGTGATATTATGTTTCCACACAATTATGGCATAAAACTGCACTTTAAAAATGAATAGTAATCTACACCTTTATATTCAAAAATATAAAGATGAAATATAAAATTTACGAAAATTATTATTAGATATAAAATTCCTCTTAATAACTATAAATGTTAATCTTTATTTGTTTTGTATATCTGCTTTTGTCGATCAATGCTTACTATTAAAAGATTACAATTGTTTATGAAATTCGAGAATTTTAAGAAAAAAGATTTGGAGATTTTCTACACATTTTAATAAAAATACAAAATCTGAAAATTTTTTTAAATACACTTATACAATAAAATTCTTTGTACAGATCATTTACATTATCGATAGTACAAACATAATCTATTTTTGGAAATGACAGCAATGTCGTTAACGAAACTAAATCGCAAAAGTACGGTTCGACGATTCGACACGTTACACGATACTCTGTAAGCGTGCACATAAAAGCCGTATACACCAATCTCGTGTTACCTGCATTCTGTCGAACTATGCATTACCGGCGTTCCTAATCTCGTTCATGCTTGCGGCGCTCATTATGCAGCACGTTTGAAGCTCGTAATGAACGCTCGCGGAAAAACGAAGCCCCATTTACGTCGTTATTGCGCCTCGAAGTCTTTACCAAGTGTGTATCAAAGCGTTTACTATGTATAATTAGCATACCAATTGAATATCATAAATCATTGTTTTTTTGAATAATTGTTATGACATTGACTTTAAGTAAATTGACATAATATGTTGCTATGCAGTCGTCATTTGTTACGAGCAATGTAGTTCTAAAGTTTGCGAGTGGTGGTGTAGTCATAACTGATCGTTTATATTTGACATTTCCTAACAGTTTATATACCATATCAATGCACTTTATTATAGTATAATCGTTGCAGCTGTAAAATTCTACGTAATATCAATTTATAAAAACGTGATAATACTCGACATTACGGTATATGTAATAATTAATAATATAGTTTACACTGTGCGTGAAAACGTGAGCAACCATTAATAAAGTGATAATTGAAAGCATTGACCGTATTAATTGACCAATTATTCTGCTTTATACGAGGGTCGATCAAATATAAACTAAACTTTTTTTTTTTTAATTTATTGAAACGCTATAAAAATACAAACGTACAAAGTTATTTCTCTATATAATCTCCGGACTTAGAAACACATTTTTCCCAACAGATGGATAGTTTTTTTATTCCGCTATTGTAAAATAAAGATGGTTGTGACACCAGTCAATTGCGCAAGAACGCTTCGACAGCAACATCGTCATCAAATCTCTGTCCTCCAAGTGCTTCTTTTAGTGGTGCAAACAAATAATAATCGCAGGGCGATAAGTCCCTTAGGGAAGGAAGGTGTTCGAGTGTAGTCCATAACAATTTCTCATTTTTATCGAGTTTGGGCAACTGTATAGGACCGGGCATTATCGTACGCAGCAGAATAATGTCTTGTATTGAAATACAAGCGTCTTTTCCGACAATATGCTAGTTTTGTTTCGCGTAAAAGTTGGCAGTAATATGCGGCGTTCATGGAGAAAATCAATGTACAGAACTCTTTTAAAATAAAAAAATACAGTTGCAAGAACTTTTCTAGCTAAAACCGACGTCGGTTACCTTTATTTTCAACTGCTTCTCGTCCTTTTAAAAATTGTTTGTGCCACGCGTACACTTGAATCTTCTTAAGAATGTTGTTCCCGAACTATGTCTTAAGCCTTCTCAAAATTTTGGACGGTTTTATGCCCTCTGTCGTAAAAAATTTGATAATAACCCATTGCGCAACAGGCGAGGAGTATCTCTTGTTCTGACATCGTGTACTGACTAAAGGAGCGGTAGTGTGAGGTCCTCTACGGGGAGGATCTCCTTCAGGCATCCCTAACTGTAACGCTTAGAAGCCGCACTCCTCTTCATTCACCTTACGGCACGTACAAAAATAAGTTCAGTTTATATTTGGTTCACCCTCGTATCTATTAATATGTATTACTGTTATTTAGCAAAATCTAAGAAATATTTAAAGAATATTTTTGTCGTATTTCTTAGAGAGATGTTACCGAGTCAACGAAGGAATTTATCGATAAAGAGCAGGTGATTAGCATGGTAGCGCGGGATGTCATTGACACCCGATTCGATACCATCACCGGCCCGGCACCCCGGTCACCAGCGGATTCCACGAGGAAACCATCGCCTGAACGACCTGGTTATCCTCGTGGAATACCTGGTCTCAGGGAAGACGATCGACCAAAACCAACTCCAATTGCTGGAAAGCCCAGTCGACCTCCGCAGCGCGAAAGAAGTCCTCAACGGCCAGTGGATGGCAGGTAAATGAAAAATAAATTGTTTCTTCTTTTATCTTTAAGCTACTCTAATTCTTTTAAATATGTCTAAACTGTAAGAAAAAATAAAAAGGTGACAATTTGTAACTTGTCGATATTGGTTTCGTAGACCTTCCGAAATCCGGTCAATGTCACCTGAAAAGCTTCGGGATCATACGTCGCCGACTAGAAGATCACAGCCAGCGGCTGGCAAGCTGAGTCGACCCGAAGAAAAACCTGTAGCATTTAGAAAATTCGATAAAGAATCTGAACCTTCGAAATCTAAACCTAATCGACTTGCTGAAAAGCCTGAAAAACCGACGAAATTGGAACAGGATAAACTTAAAAGAGGAGATCAAAGTCCAGACTCTCTCGAAGAAGATGTAGTATATCCTAAATCAGTGCCGGTACCGGATATATTGTCGAAAATTCCTCTAAAAGAACAGTGCATTTGCGAGCTTTGTACCTGCGGGTGAGTGTTCCTTGTAATAAAATACTTATATCTCTCTTCATATATAAATATATAAAGACGTAAAAATAAAAACCTAGCACGAGTGTAGAATTTAATTTAAATTATGCGAAGCATTAAGCCAAAATTAAGATTCTACCACAACGTTTAATTTCTACTTTCTACATACATATAAATTTTAATATTAAAATATTAATAAACATTTTACAAGGAGTATAATTAACAAGTATAGAACTAGTGCGAATACGATTTAATTTAACTTATCTACACGTTCGCTGTAGAGAGGAACACGGTTGACCTACTTCTAAACATTATTAACAAGATCAGAATACAAAACTTGCCAGAGTCGAGATGCAAATTGACGAGAGGAACAGGAGATTGTCTTCAAGGCCATATTTCCTACTCTATTAAATTCATTGCAGCAATCCATTCAGAGCTGAGCTGAGTTTATTATGTACGAATGTATTTACTTTTGACTTGACATTATTTTAGTATCTGTATCACTTATTACATACTTCCTATATAGAATCATATTTTCGTCATCAAAAGTTTTCATTGTTCTTATTAGATTATTTTTAATTATTAAGAATCCTTGTTTAATTAATTCAATTCTTGCTATATAAAAAAAATCAGTAACATATTTATTGATCTTTTAACGTAGTAGTATCATACAAATCAATTTTTTTATTTAGAAAACACTATATACGTATGCATAATATACAAAAGTAGGACACGAGACAGATCCTTTTACGGCAAGTTGTTCTGGGCGAGGGCAAGTCATCGCACGATTCCTTCTTTATTCGAACTTTCCAACCTACGTAGCTCTGTGTGACGGTGACGAATCATACAAATTTATCATACAGCTTTGATAATTGTGTTAGACATATCATTTTTTAAAAGTATTTATTATATCTTTAAAAAAATGGCTAATTATGGAGATTTAAGTTCCTTTAAATCTTTTTTAAACTTTATTAATTTTTATAACCTTTCTTTTCAAGATATTGATAAAAGAAACAAATTTTCTTAATATTTAAGAAAATTTTTTATTTTTTATTTCAGCTATTAATTTTTTATTTTTAACGGCAGTAGAAAAAGACAATAGTTTTAGGAAAATTTAATAAATAAGATATAAAATCTTGACCTAAATAGACTCGTAGCGCAGATAGATTTGCGAACGAGAGGTATAAATTCGTAGAAAATTAGTCGCGTCGTGGCTGTCTCAAGAAGTAATTGCGGTTCGTCTACTAGCAGGCGATTAGTCGTTGGAAATTTCTACGTAAGTCTTCTTAACTTTGAGGTCTGTTAAAACTTCTCTCTTCTGGTTTAACACGGCTCTAAAGGGATGTTCATAATGTGTCATATAACATGGTTTTATCCAATAAAAAATACATGATGCTACTCGACTTTGACCAAGTCTGGCTTTTACGGAATTGGATTTTCGTAATACCCAACGGTACAGAAGAAAAGCTAAAAAGAATTATGAGAACGAATTTTGACGTTGCTCGATGTAGTTACACAGAAGTAGGATCTCTCATATGAAATACTAGTGTCCAAATAAGTAAAGTTGCTTTGAATAAAATATTGGCAATAATACTACGTTTCTTTTTTCCATACCATTTATGGTAACTAACCAGTATTGCATTAAAAGCATTCACCAGCAAGATGTAATTCGTACCTTTCACAGAAAGGTGAAAGCTTTTCATTAATTAATACGATCAATATCAATAGAAACGTCATTTGTCATTTGATGAAATCTTAAGTTAATATTCTGAATTATATTCAATTATAAATAAAGGTATCTAAAACTTCCAATGCAATTGGATTGTAAAGAACTTAGTTAATTCTTGTAATCAAGCCGATGAATATTTAATTAATTAAATATGTATGTACCAATAACAATTCGATTTATATGAGAACGCATCTCGTTAAAATATGCTGTTATCTGACTAATAAAGGCTTTTCCTACTGTAGTATGTACACGGAATATACTCCAATTATAGTAAATATTAAATTAACTCTTGCTAAATAAAATATACGAATTATTTAGCTTATTATAATTCTTACGACATATATAAAATATTTGTTTTTAATTAATAATGTAAATGTAATATTAAAAGCCACGATACCTTAAAATGCTGTGTATCGAATGAACAGATTACAATACGATCATAATTTTGTCTTTATATCCATCGCGTATGGTAATGGCTGTAAATACTCCGAGAATAACAAGACATTTAAAACAACGCAAAACCTTTATACTCATTAAGGACATAAAAGGATTGATACCCTTCTGCGTCATATTTAAATCTCTATATGCATCAAGCCTTTGTTAAACGTTATTTGAATGAATACAAAAGCGGATAACAAGAATTTTCTGCGAACGCTTTTCCTCCCTTTTATTAATATTAAACAGGCATATACCGTGAATGTCATAAGAATGGATGCAGTATCGTTTACTTTATCATATTGCTGCTTTCAAATATGAACGCAACTGTTTAAAAATAGATACCTTTCTTTAAATACTTTAAATATTTCTTAAAACGTTACTTCTCATGCGACCTGAAAAAACATTGTAATGTCATAAACGTTATATCTGTTTCTAAATTCTAATAAATGACAATATTTTAGACGTCATCGTTGCCCGCATAATTTACCCCAAGAACATTTGGAATTCTCTTATGAAGAACCGTTGCATACTGTGACTTCCTATCGCCAGGATTACGACGAAAAACACGTGGAAAAACAAACAAAATATTATCATGAAGATCATTTGCATACGGAGGGTGAATTTATCGGACAGAGACGAACTGATTATGTGGCTACTAGAGGCGAAAGAGCGCCGGTCAAAAAACCGCAAGATCATCTCAAACCCGAAGGTGAATTCGTTAGAAGACCAAAGCAAGAGGCGATCCCTATAAGGGGTGAAAGGGCACCTGTGAAGAAGCCACAAGACAATCTTAAACCGGAGGGCGAGTTTGTTGGTAAGCCTCGAGAGGAAGCTCCGAAATATGGCGAACGAGCTCCGATTACAAAGCCAAGGGATAACTTAAAATTCGAAGGGGATTTTGACGGTAAGTTTAAATACTTGCTTAATTCCGTTCGTGAATTTATTAATAAACTTTTTTGTTATTAATTTGATCTCAACAGATATTGATCTCCAAAGAATTCTTATATATACAAATATATACTTTTCGTAAAATTGTGTGTGTATGCTCGATATAAAAAAATTAATAAATTTTGTTATTTTCTAGCTACAACAACGACCGAACTGGTTTTTACTGGCACTCCTGGCGAACGACCGATCCCAATACGTCGCAATACTTATACGAAGATAGAGGGTGATTTCACTGACGAAACGACGACGCGATCGCAATACATTGATCATCGTAGCATCCAACGTGCTGAAATCGTTAAACGAACGGATAATCTCACCGTGGGAGAGGGTGAATTCACGGTTAGTAATTTTAATGATAAAAACTTTCTGATTTTAATCAAAACGTTTATAAGACCGTATATGTGATTTCATTATTTTTCAAAATTATCTTACAGGGTACCTCTCATATTAAGGAAGATTTCCAAACTCATGTTACCGAACGTGAACCTCAGTGGCGACCGAAATATCCTAAAGACACCGATCGGTTTTACAGTAAAACAGATATCATTGACAGTACTACTACCACTCAGGAACAATTTCGAACTTTTGATCAAGCAGATTATAAAAGTACCATAGTTATTAAGAGAGCTGATAATCTAAGACCCGAAGGACCTTTCGAAGCATTGCCTCATACAAAGGATGATTATGTTACACCAATATTGCTGCGCAGGCCAGAACCACAAAAACCTATAGATAATTTAAAACCTGAAGGGCCATTCGAAGGACGGCCTAAAGATGATTATTCACCTAAACGCGGCGAACGTTATGAAGTGAAACGGCCAGAAGATAACTTACGTCCTGAAGGGCCGTTCGAAGGACGACCTAAAGATGACTATAAGCCTACTAGAGGAGAACGTGCCGATGTCAAGCGCCCTGAAGATAACTTAAGACCCGAGGGTCCATTCGAAGGGCGTCCTAAAGATGACTATGCACCTAAACGTAGCGAACGCCCTGAAGTCAAGCGTCCAGAAGATAATTTACGTCCTGAAGGACCATTTGAAGGACGGCCTAAGGATGATTATAGGCCAACCAAAGGAGAGAGAGCTGATGTTAAAAGACCACAAGATAATTTGAAACCAGAAGGTCCGTTCCAAGGACGTCCAAAAGATGATTTTACTCCGAAGACAGCGGAACGTCCTGAAGTGAAACGACCGAAAGACAATTTACGACCTAAAGGTGACTTTTCAGATCGTCCCAAAGACCAATATATACCCGGTGAGAAACGCACTCCTATCAGACATCTGGATAATTTGTATCCTGAAGGCGACTTCGAAAGACCTAAGCCGATACCTTATGGTCCCGGTGATAGAGCATCCATCGTTCGTCATCCGGATAATCTATTTCCAATAGGAGAATTTCCAGACAGAGAAATCAAGCCATTCAAACCTGCCGAACGTAGAACGCCTGTTAAACATTTCGATAATCTTCGTCCAGAAGGTGACTTTGAAGGAAAATCCAAAGATGATTACAGACCGACCAAAGGAGAACGTGCCGATGTTAAACGTCCCGAAGATAATTTGCGACCAGAAGGTCCGTTCGAGGGTCGTCCAAAAGATGATTATTTGCCAAAACGTGCAGAACGTCCTGAAGTAAAACGTCCGGAAGACAATCTACGTCCCGAAGGCGATTTTGAAAGACCAGAGAAAGCACCTATTGGTCCAGCCGAAAGACGCACTCCAATTAAACATCCGGATAATCTTAGATCCGAAGGAGAATTCGAGCGACCTCGTCAGCATGGTTATCGTCCGGCAGAAAAACCAGAAGTCAAAAAGCCAATAGACAATTTAAGGCCCGAAGGTGAATTTGAAAGACCACGTCCTGAAAAATACGCTCCAGCTGAGAAACGAACACCAGTGAAACATCCAGATAATCTCAAGCCAGAAGGTGAATTTGAGCGACCTCGGCAGGATGGTTATCGTCCGGCAGAAAAACCAGAAGTCAAAAAGCCAGTGGACAATTTAAGACCCGAAGGTGAATTTGAAAGACCACGTCCTGAAAAATACGCTCCAGCTGAGAAACGAACACCAGTGAAACATCCGGATAATCTCAAGCCAGAAGGTGAATTTGAGCGATCTCGTCAGGATGGTTACCGTCCGGCAGAAAAACCAGAAGTCAAAAAACCAATAGACAATTTAAGGCCCGAAGGTGAATTTGAAAGACCACGTCCTGAAAAATACGCTCCAGCTGAGAAACGAACACCAGTGAAACATCCGGACAATCTCAAACCAGAAGGTGAATTTATTGGTAAACCGAAAGAAGATTTTATACCAACAAAAGGTGATCGCGCTGATGTTAAAAGACCAGCAGATAATTTAAAACCGGAAGGTCCATTCGAAGGTCGACCAAAAGATGATTATCGACCAATGCGTGGAGAACGTATGGATGTTGTTAAACGCATGGACAATTTGCGTATGGAAGGAGATATAGAAACATATAGATCTAGAGACGAATATACCGATTTCTTAATACGCGAAAGAACTCAAATTACTAAATATCAAGATAATTTACGTATGGAAGGTGAATTCATTGATACAAGAACGCGAGATGATTTTAAAATTGTTAAAGGTGAACGCATGGACATCGTTAAACATCGTGATAATTTAAAACCAGAAGGTCCGTTCGAAGGTCGCCCGAAGGACGATTATTCACCGAAGAAAGCAGAGAGACCTGAAATTAAAAAGCCGGAAGACAATTTAAAATCAGAAGGCGATTTCGTACGTCAGCCTAAGGAAGAAGCGCCTAAAAAAGGTGACAGAGCTGATGTGAAAAAACCGAGAGACAATTTGAGGCCGGAAGGTGACTTCGAAAGACCGGAAAAGAAACCAATCGGTCCAGCAGAGAAGCGTACCCCGATTAAACATTCTGATAATCTAAAACCAGAGGGTGAGTTTGAGAGACCAATACCTGAAGAATTCAAACCTGCCGAAAGACCAATTGTAAAGAAACCACATGATAATTTAAAACCGGAAGGCGAATTTGTGTCAAGACCGAAAGATGAGGCGCCAAAGAAAGGTGAGAGAGCTGATATCAAAAAGCCACAAGACAATTTGCGACCGGAGGGCGATTTCGAAAGACCGGAGAAAAAACCAATTGGTCCTGCAGAGCGACGTACTCCGATTAAACATTCTGACAATCTGAAGCCAGAAGGTGAATTCGAAAGACCTAAGCCTGAAGAATTTAGACCTGCTGAAAGACCGGTAGTAAAGAAACCACACGATAATTTAAAACCGGAAGGTGAATTCGTTTCTCGGCCAAAAGAAGAAGTGCCAAGAAAAGGTGACAGGGCTGATGTTAAAAAGCCAAAGGATAATCTCAAACCCGAAGGCGATTTTGAAAGACCGGAAAAGGCACCTGTTGCTCCAGCGGAACGACGTACTCCGATTAAACATTCAGATAATTTGAAGCCGGAAGGTGAGTTTGAACGACCGGAACAAGAAGGTTATCGTCCAGCAGAAAGGCCAGAAGTCAAAAAACCAACAGATAATCTGAAACCCGAAGGCGATTTTGAGAGACCACATCCTGAAAAATATGTTCCGGCTGAGAAACGTACGCCAGTGAAACATCCAGATAATCTTAAGCCGGAGGGTGAATTTATTGGTAGACCTAAAGAAGACTTTACGCCTACTAAAGGTGATCGTGCCGAAGTTAAAAAACCAGAGGATAATCTGAGACCAGAGGGTCCATTCGAAGGTCGACCGAAGGATGATTATCGACCGGTGCGTGGCGAACGCATGGATGTAGTGAAGCGCACGGATAACTTGCGAATGGAAGGAGATATAGAAACTTATAGATCCAGAGACGAATATACCGATTTCTTAATACGCGAAAGGACCGAAATTACTAAATATCAGGATAATTTACGTATGGAAGGAGAATTTATCGATATGAGAACACGGGATGATTTCAAAGTCGTTAAAGGCGAACGCACGGATGTCGTTAAGCATCGTGACAATTTAAAACCGGAAGGTCCATTCGAAGGTCGTCCGAAGGACGATTATTCGCCTAAGAAAGCAGAGAGACCTGAAATTAAAAAGCCAGAAGATAATTTAAAACCAGAAGGCGATTTCGTACGTCGGCCTAAGGAAGAAGCACCTAAAAAGGGTGAGAGAGCTGACGTGAGAAAACCGAAGGATAATTTGCGACCGGAGGGAGACTTCGAAAGACCGGAAAAGAAACCGATTGGCCCTGCTGAGCGACGTTCTCCGATTAAACATTCTGACAATCTAAAACCAGAGGGTGAATTTGAAAGACCTAAGCCTGAAGAATTCAAGCCTGCTGAAAGACCGGTTGTAAAGAAACCACACGATAACTTGAAACCTGAAGGCAAATTCGTATCTAGACCGAAAGAAGAAGTACCGAAGAAAGGTGAAAGAGCCGATGTCAGAAAACCGCAAGATAATTTGCAACCGGAAGGAGACTTTGAAAGACCAGAAAAGAAACCGATCGGCCCTGCTGAGCGACGTTCTCCGATTAAACATTCTGACAATCTAAAACCAGAAGGTGAATTCGAAAGACCTAAACCTGAAAAATTCAAGTCTGCTGAAAGACCGATTGTAAAGAAACCACTCGACAACTTGAAACCTGAAGGCGAGTTCACATCTAGACCAAAAGAAGAAGCACCAAAGAAAGGTGAAAGAGCCGATATCAGAAAGCCACAAGATAATTTACGACCAGAGGGTGACTTCGAAAGACCGGAGAAAAAACCAATTGGTCCAGCCGAAAGAAGAACTCCGATTAAACATTTTGATAATTTGAAACCTGAGGGTGAATTTGAGAGACCTAAGCCTGAAGAATTCAAACCTGCTGAAAGACCAATTGTAAAAAAGCCACATGATAATTTGAAACCTGAAGGCGAGTTCGTATCTAGGTCGAAAGAAGACGCGCCGAAGAAAGGTGACAGAGCCGATGTTAGAAAGCCGCAAGATAATTTACGACCGGAGGGTGACTTTGAAAGACCGGAGAAAAAACCAATTGGTCCAGCGGAAAGAAGAACTCCGATCAAACATGCAGACAATTTGAAGCCAGAAGGTGAATTTGAAAAACGTCCAAAAGAAAAGATACCGATCAAAGGCGAAAGGGCGGATGTTACCAAACCAAGAGATAATTTACGACCTGAAGGCGACTTTGTAAGACCTCAGAAATCACCGATTGGCCCAGCAGAACGACGTACACCGATTCGACATGAAGACAACTTGCATCCAGAGGGTGAATTCGTTGGTCGACCAAAAGATGATTTTATTCCTAAGCGCATCGATCGACCAATTCAAAAGAAGCCTAAAGATAATTTGAAGCCTGAAGGAGAATTTGTAGGAAAACCTAAGGATGATTACAAACCAACTAAAGGAGAGAGAACTGAAATCGTGATGCATCAAGATAATTTGAAGATGGAAGGAGATATAGATGTTTATCGATCTCGAGATGATTACGTAACTACGTCTAAACGCGAACGTGTAGATATTGTTCATCGTGAGGATAATTTGAAGATTGAAGGCGAATTCGTTGATATCCATCGACGAGATGACTATCGAGTTACTCGTGGTGAACGTAGCAAAGTTATTAGGCGTGAAGACAATCTTTATCCTGAGGGTGATTTCGAACGACCAGAGAAAGCACCGGTAGGTCCCGCAGAGAGAAGATCTCCTATTAAACATCCTGATAACTTAAAGCCAGAAGGCGATTTTGTTCAACGGCCGAAGGAAACCGTGCCTATTAAAGGTGACCGAGCAATCGTCAAGAAGCCGAAAGATAACTTGAAGCCCGAAGGTGAATTCGAGAGACCAGCAAAATCATCCGTTGGTCCCGGTGAACGACGATCACCCATTAAACATCCCGATAATCTTCATCCGGAGGGAGAATTCGTTGGCAGACCGAAGAAAGACACGCCGCTAAAAGGCGACCGAGCAGATGTGAAGAAGCCAAAGGATAATCTTCATCCCGAAGGAGAATTCGCGAAACGTTCCCCGAAGAAAGTAGAACCGGCTGAACGAAGAACTCCGATCAAGCACGAGGATAATCTTCATCCTGAAGGAGATTTCTACATAGTGCCTAAGGACGATTTTATTCCAAAGAGAGGAGATCGATCGCCGGTTAAAAAACCTCAGGACAATCTTCGTCCCGAAGGTGAAATGAAAGTATCTCCGAAAGATGATTATAAATATGTAAATGGAGATCGCGTAGAAATACGTCGGCATGAGGATCACCTGCGCATGGAGGGACAAATAGACACTCATTGCTCGAGAGATGACTATAAGAAAATAACGAGAGTGGAGAAAGTGGATGTTAAGAGACATGAAGATAATCTCAGAATGGAAGGCGAATTTATCGACGTGCGTCGCAAAGATGATTACGTGCACGTGGTTGGTGAACGCGTGCCAATTAAAAAGCGTGCGGACAATTTACGTCCGGAAGGAGATTTCGACAGACCTCAGAAGATCGTGATTGGGCCCGGGGAGAAAAGAACTCCAATCAAGCACCCGGATAATCTGAAGCCAGAGGGTGATTTTGAACGTAGAACTCCGGATAAGATTGGTCCCGGTGAACGACGATCGCCGATTCGTCACGCCGATAATTTGAAACCAGAAGGTGATTTCATCGGACGCCCACGTGACGACTTCACTCCCAAAAGAGCAGAAAGAATCGAAGTCGTAAAAAGAGAAGATAATCTAAAGATGATGGGTGATTTCGAAGGCACAACGTCTCACAAGTCGACTTATACAATAGTTCGTGGAGAACGAGCGGACATTAAGTCACATGAAGATAACTTAAAACTCAGCACCGGCACTATGGAAACAAAAACAACCAGCAGAGATACTTATACACCTTCTATAAAGCATGAACCTTCTCCCGCTGGTAAAACGGTAAATCGTCGAAGACACATGGAATCGTCTATTTCGCTCGGTGATGACACCACCGTGATGACCACGACGAATCAACGTAACTATAATACCTACACGAAACGTACAGGAAAGGATATCGCTGCTAAAATGAGTCAGATAGAATCTGATACTAGGAAGACCGTGGAATCGCAAACTTTAGCAGATGGAACTATCGTTACGACCGTAAGACGTACAACTACTTCTGCTCAGTCAGATCAGAAAGCTGCCAATGCTCAAACTGTCTCTCATCATCAACAAATACAACATATTACGGATCGTCGTACCGCTCAACCAATTGATGTTTCGCCATTTGGACCACAACCCGTGGATTCACGAAAAACGACTTCTCAATCAATATCTAATCAGCATCATGAACAACATCAAAGAACTCATTTGAGCGAGCAACATTTGCAATCGCAGAATATGCAGAGTCGTCGAACAATCGAGGATAGATCATTCACGGAAGGAGTAAATCATCGAGGGCAAATCGTGCGAGCGGAAGATACATCTCGTTACGCGATCGACGCCACACATGGCGAGCACCATAGACAGCAGCATCAGCAGCAGCACGTCGAGCGTCATCATCAGGAAATGACCAAGCGCGATTATGTGAACGCACAACATATGGAAACTCGACAAAGATCCGGGACGAAGCAACACGAGCAGCACACAATCTCCACTCAGGCGCGATATAATTCAAGCAGCCCGGAATTCCGACAATCAATCAATGGGCAAACGACTTTAGAACAATCACACGTAGACTCAGCCACGAAGTTCGGTCACCACCGCAAGAACGTGATATCCTCTTCGTCGGCTGACATCAGCAACGCAGTACTCCATCGACGTGGCGCAGCTTCTTCTACCGAGGCGCTTCACACGATCTCGTCGACGGCGGCGGACCAGCGCAAAAGTATTTCAAACCTGGCTGAGAGCGGACAGTACATCAGTAATTCGAGCCAGAGCAACGATAGACGTAGCTTGACTTCGCTGCATCGTAGTTCTAAAGAAGTCAATCCTTGGGCATCTTCCAGCTATGAACGCCCGCAGAGAATCATTCGGCAAGACAACCTAAGTGTCGGCGGGAAATTCTATTCACAAAGCGAGGCAAAAAGCTATGGAAATTTCTCACAAAGTACTCAAAAAGTAGAAAGAGTCCAGAGGCAAATGAACGCATCTCACATTAATTTGGGTGATGGTAGTACTGTCAGTTCCAGCATGTATAAAAGAGAATACGTTCCTAGGCACAGAGGACCGTGTCCAGCTACTCTTTTGGAAGCCAAACAGGCGCCTTTCAAACACACCAGAGACACGCAGAAACACAAGTTTTACATGCCCGTTGTGTCCAACTAAACTGGCCTATTAAATTTAACGTTTTACTAATTTTTTAAGAAATTATGCCGAATATAATAATGTTAAAGGGCTAAAATCAAAATTTCATTCTGTAAAGATGATCAAAATTATATGCAACACATTTATCATCGTACATAATATTTTTAAGCAATTTTTTGTTATATATCGATTATATTGAGTAAAAATATATATAATAATTAATTATATATATTAATATACATAATAATCAATCATAATTAATTAATTATTTTATTATCATAATCAATAATAATAATTAATTAAATATTAGAATCAATTATAATTAATTATTATAATATTGTTAATTAATAATTAAAAGAGAGAATATAAAATTATGTGGGACTATATATACAGTAACAGTAAATATGATACGTTACTATATATAGAAAATTTTCTTTTTCAAAGTACTCGAATTTTGCCAAGATTAAATCCGAAAAGGATTTTTTGAATAATGCTGTGATGATATCGCGCTGTTGAAAAATTAATTTATATTTTATAATCGCTGAGACATTATTCCGAGTCAAAGTGAGTACTATAATCGTTTCTAAATTACAATATCAATGGATGAGATTTTAAGGGATCTATCGTGTCCCTTGTATGGCAATATTAAATATAAGCTGTTAAAATACGTATATACTTAATATAAACAATTTCTTTTTAAGATGCAGTTACGAATGAAAATAATTGGTCAATATAAGTATATAAGTATTGAGTATACCACTAACTTTTATCTACCGACGAATAGGTAGCCGCCCGTTATATATTCCTTTTTTCTTAAAACACGTGTATACAAAGCAATAACTAGAGCTTAAATCCATGATACGGTCGGATCTAATAGAGCATTAGTTTCGTCCGATAATTAGGATAATAGGTGCAATTATGTCATTCTATTTCACTGACTTTATAATGTAAAGTTTTTATATGGCAATGAGTTTCTCGTTTATGTTTTATTTCATTTTCAGCTTATTTTATTATCGCATTTATTTAGCGTTGTGTTATAAGAACATATTTTCAGCAAAATATTAAGAAAATATATACATGATTTTTTTTCCTTTTTCATTAAGCAATTCTTAGATGGGTAATTCAACTTCTGGATGTTGGTTTATTTACTTTATAACCTTTATTTTATTCGAATAAAATAGATTTGTATTTATTTGTTGCATGAGTTTTATTTGTTACCATTATATTTATTTTATTAATGCATTTACACGATCAAAACGCACATAATAGAAAAATATTTGATATTATTTGTTGTTTATACAATGCAATATACTGTACATTCGATATATAGTTGTCACAAAAATTAATTATTAATTAATAAAAGGATTATAAATAAGTTAAACTATATAAAAGCAATTAGAAATTTAAATTTAGAATTTTAATATTAACATTGTTGAGATATAATTTATAAAAATAGTTTTGGTGTCAAATATTAAATTAATCCAAAGGATCTGCCATTAAAAAATACAGGGTGGGGAAAAAGTATGGAAGCAAACAATTATTTCCGAAACTATTCATTTTTCGACAAAATGTCTTAGACATAATTTTTATGGTATGAAAAGATGTATTATGTGGCATAGACGGCATGACCTTGAAATGACCCTTAAAGTAAGAATGTATATATGTATATTGAAGTGACAACATTTTTATTAATACTATTAGCACGGCCATAGGCTATTCACAAATAATGTGAATAGATGAAACTTTATCGGCCTCATTGCTGATATGAAAAAAGATCTTATTATGTTCCTAATTCTTTTTAAAACTTGGCTGCATAGACAATAATGACTCTGGTGTGTATACTAGATTGTACGCACTTAGAGGTACCTATATAAAACTAAATACATCGAAAGATATAAAAACGTTATTTTTTTACTGTATTTTTACTAGATCCTGAAATATATATGGCAGTTTCTTTCTAAAATATGTCTATATGTCAAACTAAATCCAAATCAAATGAGTGCAAGAAAGAGAATGGGCAATTTGTGGCTGTGCAATTCACATTCATTGAAACAAGTTGTTCATTCATGTCTGTTCGCACTTGCTTTCTTTATTTGAATCTGGCTTAAAATAATAACTTTTGATCAAAAAATGTAATAATATCAAATCTATATATTATAATTCGCGCGCAATGCTATTGTGTAGATAGATAAGTAGAAAAATATAGCATTATAAAAATGTATGTGATTGTACATTAAGATAAGCAGCACAATAAAAAATAGTGCATTTTATATTTTTTAAATTTTCTGACGTAAAAAAATTTGCTTACCGATAATTTTATATTGAAATTGGATTTTCCATGATTATGAAAGAAATTAATTTACTTATATGCCTCTTAAAGCCGAGCAATTAAAATAAATTATAGGAGGCAGGAATCAAGAAATCTATGTGCATATATTATTTCCTACAGATTGTAAAGTAATGTTTGTTCTTTTATTAATAAATTATTAACATTGGCCTTCCTAGCTAAAAAAATATTGCACGGAAAGAGAAAGACGACAGTTCAATTAACGGAACCTCATGTTACTTGCTGGACTTTGGAAACACTCATAAGCGCATTTGTGGTATTTGTAATAGACATATGTATATAGAGATACAAATTGTTTATTGTTAGTTTGTAAATTTTATATATATATATATAACCTGTATATAAACGGATCACTGTATTTAACTTTTTCAAAACATATCTTGTGCGATAGGAACGATAAATAGCAACTATTTCCCATATCAACGAGACAAAATATTAATTACTTATTTCAACAGAATAGATATATATGTATATGAGATAAAATAAGGTTTGAAGTTGCAGTACCGTTACTACCTGTTCCTTGGAGCATCTCTCGTCCTTTCCTTCATCGTCCTTTTGCTTCATCGTCACGCTCTCGACGACGACTTAAGAAAGAAGAACAAGTATGATCCAGCGCCTGTGGGCGATTTACCGTCTCACGCTTTTTCCCCTTCGTCCACCCTCTTACTTTTATACCTCACTTCGACGCCTCGTGAATCTCAGGGTTGTTAACCCTAGCAATGAGATTGTCGAAAATTTCGCGTCGGAATGGAGATTTCACTCCGGGCAACTTTCATGTCTCTCTCTCTCTCTCTCTCTCTCTCTCTCTCTCTCTCTCTCTCTCTCTCTCTCTCTCTCTTTCACGAAAATTACGGGTTACCTCTCTAATTACTCGATCTCGCTCGAATTCGTTCAGCAAACTTTCGATGTGACCGATCAGAAGGAACGTTTTATCTCGACAATCAAAACTTTCTTTCATTCGATGGACCAATGTGCATAAATATCGTAATGATATTATCTATTTTTATAGGCAAACAATGCAAAATTTATGCTGAAAAAATTATGAGCTATCAAATTGAGTACAATAATTTCATTCAAATGTTTAATTAATATAATAAAAATAATTTTACTTTCTTATAAATATTTAGTAATTTTGACCAAATAGTTGATTACATTATTATGTTTAATAATACTAAATATTTAAAAAAGTAAAATCATTTTTTACTATATCAACCGAACATTTGATTAAAATAATTTTACTCAACATTTTATAACTATTACTAAAATTGTTTTCTGTGTACGTGTATCTTTCATAGAATTTCAAGTTCATGCATCCTATACTTTTTTATATTAATAAAAATTTTAGTTTCTCGTTGGAAAACAAATATATTTCTCTCACAACTCGGTATTGAATAATAATCTTTGCTTATCCGTCGCTGATTACATACTGTATATATAATTAATGTAGCATCAAACTGTTATCAGCATTTCTTTTAGGTTTTATTGCTAGTGTTACATAAATAATTAAGACCGCGATCTAGTTACATGCGAGTCGAACGATTAAGATGCCGGCCTATTAACCGCTAATCGACGTCGATCGTAATTACATGGCGCGTCCGCAAAGTGGCACGATTCTAAGGAAGTGGTTTGAGATCGTTGCCCTCTTTTCCTGCCCTGTCGCAACCTCACAGTCTATATCATGGGAAAAAAGACATAAAAGAAATATCTATAAAATCGAAAGGATAATATTATCGCGATTATAGTTAATTCAATGTGTAATTCCAATGTGCTTGTCGCGATGCGTTGACGCAAATCAAGACGAGCGCACATTTTCGTGTCACGTAGTTACATACAGGTAGAAGTACGAAACGGTAGAAGTACAAAAGAAGTACAGCGACCCATTAACCGGCATGCTGCCGTCGCTATCATCGTTGCTGTCGTCTAGGTCTTCCAAAGTGGTACAATTCGAAATGGCCAGACACGCTGAGAGCGATGTCCTCTTTCGCGCGGATCGTCGACTACCTGCAGGCGAACGTAAAGTCACCTGCCGCATACCTCTCTACCTCCCAGCGGCAGGCCAGAGGCAGTCACTGGTCCTTTTTCTCTCTCTCTCTCTCTCTCTCTCTCTCTCTCTCGTTCTTTCTTTCTCTCCATTACCACCATCGCGAAAAAAACATTCGCTTTCACGAAAGTCCAGGTCTTCGTAGGCCTCTCCTTCGCCTTACCCGATACACGAGGCGCGCGAGAAAAGATATGCCACACGCGAGGAACCTGCGGTGAAATCCGCGATTTCTGCCGGCGTTTCTTCCGCAAGGAACTTACACGCTGCAGAACGGGCACAGTAAGTCTGACATTCGTTTCGAGCCTGGTACGAGTGCAAAAAATCCAAAGACCGCGAGATTGGCAATCTCTCCATTAAGATATAAATACTCTCACGTCGTTTTTGACGTACCTTTCTTTTCATAAATGAAAATGAAGCATACCTCTTGGAGAACGGATAGTACCATTGCCGATTAGAATCACATGTACTTAGAAAAAAAGTAGATAAATCAGTCTCTATTTAGATCTTCACGTTTGTTGTAATTCTCTCCATCACCCGTTTTACGGCACGACAATAATGCGCCTTCTTAGGAACTTTTCGGTAAAAAGTTATCGAATGAAATTCTTAGCACACGACCTCGTTGCACCATTGCTCGCGTCGATTACCACCTGCATGTACGTACATTTCAAGTTCCTCGTTACGAGAACGTCGCCGATCTACAGTTCCATCGAATAGTTCCCTGGTCAAATCGCGATCACCATGGTCGTTGCCGTTAAACG